AGACATTGATTGAGCTTAATGAGTTGATGGAGAAGATGATTTCGCTCGACGTCGTTTTTGGTGATACAGTTGAGAGGCTCGGGACCATACAAGGGATCTGGAGGATGGTGCGTCCATCTCCTTGACGGATACTCGTTGTGAAAATCCCCCTGAAACTTTACATGCATTGCAGCTGATCACAGACTCGCAAAGACTCCATTGGAAGCTGTCGGATATTGCCAGTCAGGATGACGAACTAGTAAGCCGCGCTACCAATTCCAGGCACTTGGCGTACGGTGTACTCATTTTCCTGATTTTGCGTCCACTTTCAGACATTCATGCTTATGGTCAAGAATGTGTCCGTGACATATGAGACCTTGGACATTGCCTTGGGTAAATTCTGTTCTGGCGTCGGTGAGTATTATGCCTAGTTTGATTGAGGGAAGCTCTCAGGTACTGCGGGACTCGCCATTTGGTGGACGGGGTCTTTGATGTAGACAGCTGCAGTGTTTTTCAGTATAGATATAACAATAACTTTTTGGAAAGCACATTTGAGCCTCTTTATTGTATATTTGGACCTTGATTTGGGAACAGTCCTAAGTGATTGAACGTACTGACTGTCGCAAGTTCTGTGATGATCCGCTGCGGCCCGCAGCTTTCTGGTCCTCTCGCTCTTTTCAACTCACGACGACGTCATTCTAAAATCTTGCTAGAACTTTGGGTAAGACATTCGACTCGAGTATATATATTAGAGCTTTGTAGCATTGGCGTTGTTCGTTCTTTCCTCCCGTCTTCCACCATGTTCTTCACTGCCGTCCCCCCCTACTATAATACCACCACAAGGCAAGTCAGTTCCTGTCCCTGGACGACGTCTAACTGACCATTTTTGGCGCATAATTGCGCCCTTCGTGGCCTGATCCTCGGTCCTCGGATGTATACGCACGACTGCAAAGACGGTGCGAGACGTCGACAGCGATAGTGTAACGAGCTGACCCAATGACCGAGCTGAACCGCGACGCACTCTCGAAGAAACTCAAAGTCGCAGTAGAGCACACACCAGAGTGGGTGATCTGATTCTCTGGTTCGATGCGAGATTTTACTTAGCATTGTCATCCAAAACAAGCCAGGACCATATTGAATCACTGATACATGGCCGAGATCAGTTGTTTTTATTCATAATCTACCGGCGCAACACCCCCCAGGACGGAGAAGCGAGCTAGCAAAGGCTGCACGAAATAGGACACCGACGTTATACACCCTGATCCTCGGTCCTTGGACGTGCCGCGAAGACAATGCGACCATCGATAGCAGCAATAGCGATAGCGAGCTGAGCTCATGACGGAACTGAAAGCACAGACGCCAAAGTGACTGATTTGTCTTCTCCGTCTCAATAAGATGATGGGGGATGGGGTGTTTTGGCAAGTCGAAAGAAAGACCCTTCAGCGCCCATCGATCACGATCAATCAGATGATCGAGTGGTATGTGCGAATGTCCTTGCCATAAACAAACACTAACGTCTGAACACGAAGAGTTTCTCTGTGCTGGGAGCGGCTTCACGCCCAAACGCCATCCCCCTCCTCAAATCGCATACAAAATCGCGTGCGACAGAGACGGGTCGGGGACCTAGAACACGGGACACGTGACACACGCGTGTCCCCAAAAAACCGACCAGACAATGAGTTAAGATAGCCGACGCGACGCGTTTTGATGGACGCACTCCGGACCGGTAAGAATACGTCGCATGATGGATATTTCAAAGTGCAGTTGGCACGATAATCAGGAAGGAGGACACGAGGCGTCCCTTGTTTCAACCTACCCTGGCTCGTTTCGGGGCTCTTTCTTCCTTCTTCCCTCCCTCCCTCCCTTCTCTTTTTTCTTTGACCGTTCTCTGGGACTTGGTTGTTCCAGTGAGCATAGTACGAGGGAACGAGCACGCAGGCCGTCTGTCGTCATCCATACCGTCACTCCACCCTTGCTCCACCCGGTCCTTGCTGTCAAAAATGCCGTACCACACGAGCGCAAGCCCACCTGCACCCAGACACCGCAGACCCCTTCCACCGAGTCCAATGGGCCCACAGATGACAATGCACCGCAAATCCCGCGCTACGTGTACGCTCTCGCTCGCCCATGTCAATGCATGTCTTATCACCGGCAACCCGTCGGTGGTGGCGTTGCAGAAGGATGCGGAGGAGTCGGATTCAGATGCGATGGTGGTGGATCTGGATATGGGGTTTAATGTCACCCTCGTATCGGTCCCCGCCGCCGCCTCGGAGCAGCGTACGGTTAGGAGACGGACACGCCTTAACGAGATCAACATCATCCCGTTCCCCACGTCCACACAGACACCATCACAACAAAGGCCGCCACCACCAAGCACGCCCCACGTCCTCCTCCGCTCAACACCACGACCCCGCCCTGCCTCCATCCTCATCCTCCCCACTCCCCCCAATCTCAACACCACAGAGAAAGACGATGCCGACGCAAGCAAGGCACATGAACCCCCCTCCCCTACAGCAGCCGACGCCCCGCCTCGGAAACGAGCTCGCAAAGGGAGTATCTCATTCTCTACCCCCGTACCCCCTGTCCGTTCATCCAATGCGAGTGGGCGACCGCTACCGATACCGCGTGTGGGTGCGCGACCGGGTCCGTCGAAGAAGGCGTTACCTCCGGTGAGTGAGATACCGCTGGTGATTCCGCCGCGGCCGTCAACGCCTACACCCGAATCGGGAGATAACTGTCGGCATAGCGTGCCCGCGCCTGCGCCTACGCCGATGGAAGGTGTAGAGGAGGCAGAGGCGAAGAAGAGTAAGGATAGGGAAGCGGTTGAGCCACCTCCGTATTCGCCTTCTCCCCCGCCTTATTCGCCTTCTCCTGCTTGTGCTGCGGCACCGGCACCGGTGATAGTGTGTCCTACCCCCATTCCCATCCCTATTCAATTCCCCTCGCCCTCCATATCTTCTCCTACCACCTCTTCTCCCGCATCGCCTTCCATCGTCATCCCTGCCCCGCCCACCTCCTCACCCCCGTCCGCGCCTCGTAGACCACGGATCAGCACGTCAGAGCTGAAGCTCCTTACGTACCTCTATCGGACGGTCGTTTTCGGACTTGAGGTGCGGTATCGCGAAGGAGAGCGGAAGAGGGTTAGCGTAGATGCGTTAGCGCTGGCGGCCAAGGTAGATCTTGGGAAGAAGGAGGTGATGGCGCGGGGACCAATTTTGGTCGATCCTTGGAATCGACCAATGACGCCTGAAGACGACGATGATCAGGATAACGAGGACGATCGGGTGGTCCTGAGAGAGCAGGACTCTAGGGAGGAAGAGGAGAGGAAGAAGGCGAAAGAGAGAGACGACCTGGACGTGCAAGACGCGCTGCTCGCTCTTCGCTTGAGAGGGTTTTTGAGAGCGCATGGCGTTGAGGATTGGGTGTTGGAGGTTGAAATTGAGGATGAGGATGAAGAAGAATCGGTCGTCGTCGAGTGTGTTCGGGAGGTAGTTGGGAAGGGAGATGTGACCATGGAAGTGCAGGATAAGGACAAAGAGGTGAAGGAGGTAGACGCGAACCCGTTCCTGGAGGACGCGCGCTCGTCAGGAAAGGAGGTAGAGGCGAAGATGGAAGTAGACGTTGACGTCTGCGTCTCTTCACCTCCCTCCTCCCCCACCTCCCCACATTCCTCTCTCCCTTCCCCCACACCCTCCTCCCTCCCTTCACTCCCCCAATCCGCGCTCCCATCTCCCATCTCCCCATCCCCATCCCTTCCGACCCACTCCAACTCACAACGCCGTACCGAAACGCCCTCCCCAGCCCCATCCACCCAATCGAACGGGGACACCATCCTCCTACCTAGCCACTTGATCGCGGTGATGTATCTCAGGCGAGCCAGCCGGGGCCGCGTTGCGCCACGGGTGGGGGGGAGGAGGGGTTCGGGGTTGAGGGTCGTTGAGTGCTATTAGATGGTGAGGAGGCGTGTGTCTTTTGACATGAAAAACAGAATAGAGAATGGGTGATGGAAAGGTTCAGGAGGATGACAATGGGTGCGTTGTTCATGGGAATTGGTTTTGGGTGGGTTCACGGAGCTGATTTGCTTTCTTATCAGGCTCGAGTGCGGTCAGGCCGACTCGCCCTTCCATCCTTCCTCACATCATTCCATCCATCCATCCATCCATACCTCCCATCCTTTTTCGCGCCTCGAGCACGCGTCAACAAAATGGCGCACCCACTTCCCGCCTCACGCGTCGACCTGTGTGATAACGACTTAATTTTTCTTTTATGACTTCCTTTATTCCTCCCGGGTTTTTGGTTCTTTGGTTCCTTGCCTCCTTCCTCCACTATCGTTAATCTATTCCCGCCGGCCCGCCCGTTTGGCGGTCGCGCGCTCGTTCGTTGATATCACGGACTTGAGCAACGCGCCCTGAGGGGCTGTGGTTGCGGGAGTGCAAAATTTCTACGTCCAAGACGTCTTGATGACCTTTCTTTCTCTTTGGTTTCTGACAGTTATACTTATGTTTCATACCACGCTTGACGCACCCTCCCACCACGACTACGATTATGACTCTACTACACGCCTGGGCGACTCCCATTCACGACTCCCATCCATGACTGTACACAAACGATCCGGAATCATCCATACCTTTCCCATCCATCCATACCTTCACATCGCGTATAGTTTCCGACCATTGTATGGTTCTACGAATACACTTCATACCCTCATCGCATTGCATTCGCATAGTCGCATCGCTTTTGTCGTCTTTTGTTTAGCTTTCTGTAAAAATGCATATACATCCACTTAAATTGATTATGGTCGATGATGTTGATTGCCGTGCGTTGGTAGGAAAGGCTTTGTGATCGATCGCTTGTTTATCTTTGCCTGGAAGGAGAGGGGCTGAGAGGGGGTGGGGAGGAAGTACGGGGTTCCTGACTGGGTATACAAGTGACCGATTGACCTTGACGCATCAGTATGTAGAATGAAGCAAGAAAGAAAGAAAAAAGGTTGTTTCAGTAAATTGCTATTCTGAATTCCTGTATTCGAGTACGGGGAATCGAACCCCGAGCTACCGCGGTGTTTGGTGCTGTCACTTCATGAAAGGCGGTAATGTTAGCCGTTACACCATACTCGAATCTCTGTGTAATTTTAAGCGGGCGTACTCAATCGGCAGGGTTCAATCCTAGACAAGGCGTGTCTCTGGGGTTGGCGAGCGGTCATTGGGCCGCAATTGGGCCGCTTTGTGTACTTTCTTGAGGCTTCGATGCTTATGGTACTAAGAACTGTGCTGGATGGTCAACCAAGACTAGTAGAAACGATGTATGGTCTCCTTGAATTGTATAGCAAGCCCTGTCTTTCTTTATCTCTCCATCAGAGAGTATCTATGCCCAGCCAATGGACATTCTTGCGCGGCTCATGAACCTAGCTTTGAACGTTGCCCTTCGGTGGTACGGGGTGATACGTAAAAGGTGAGCCGAGGTTTCAGCCATTTATCGATATTGTTGGGATATTGGAGCCAGGAAATGAAAGCAGAACACCTACGTCTTGCGAAACATCCTGAAAAAATCATGCTAAGCACAGAAGAACTCGGCAAGGGTGTAGAAAGCGATAATATTGAAAATCGAGCTGAAGAAGACCATGAAATTGGCAAGCGGATTTATGGCACCGATTGGTAAATGCATAACATTGTAAATACATTCTAATTGGTCTTATAGATAGACTAGAAACTAACATTGCTTTGACTTCGATTCCTGGAATCACGCCCCATTTATACCAAAACATTTGAGCATGTTTAGCGTCCGATCTTTGCCTTATATTTTTTGAACATGTGTTGACTTGGTGTCAACTTGCTTTTTACTGAGGTTGATCCATGTAAGAGCCGGTTTTGCGCCGCATTGCGTAGTTCACAGAACAGCACCAACATGGCCAGATTTCCCTTACCCAGAATATCTTCCTGAAGTAAATTCTTTGTCTCCCCCCGAAGCACTTATGTATCTTGATCCGGATTGTCCGTCCGTCTGATAGAAATTGTCTAATTATCTGCATGCATCTGTGTGCCTATCTTCATACATCTGCGGTGATAGCGGCTTATCTGCAGAATGACGCTATGGTGTTCATCATAAACCGACGAACTTCAAATTGAAGAGGTGCGGTTTGCAGTAATGGAGTACTGGCTATTGTGAAGAACTTGTCACTAACTATGCCAACGCACTTCAGGTTCTTTTGGCTGGAGAACATCCAATTTCTAAGTAATAAGTGATATATCCTCTCTTTGTTGGCGCCGTCGCAGAGGGGGCTCTTGAATTTGATGAATCCAGAGTTCAGAGACATTCATGTTGAGTCGGATGGGATTTGAACGTGAACCACGAACTACAGCGGTACACAGACGAATCCTATGGCAAGCGGTGATCAGGCTTCGCCACATATGCATTCAATTGTTGTACACAGCTCCATATGCCCTGAAGTGCACCCTTCTTGATTTTAGTACATACGCTTGGGGTACATGGCCCAGACGTTGTGTAAATAAATTCACTGTCTACGTGGCAGTCCGAGGTTACTTCATATTGACTTCTTATGAGAATACATTACTGGCCCCATGATTTAAATTTTGGAGCGCAACACAGGAGTCCGTGCATGTTTGGAGGGGTACTGCCGCCGGAGCATGCTCCTTCGTTCTGATGGTACCAATTGCTACCGAACGTATCCCTCGTTATGTAACTTTTTTCTCTCACACCATCGCTCGAGGCTTTCTCGACGAAACCTCTCTAACTTGAACCACCACCCCACTTGATTCTTAAAGCTTAAAGCCTTGCGGTGCCCCATACTGGCTTAGTAAACTTTCCAATCCCACATGCATACGAAGGTGAGCCTAGCCGACGCACCTCATGACGAAATGCACACGTTAACCACGTTTTTAACGGAACAAACAGCGAGAGGTCCTGCTACCAGACTATGGAACTCGTCATCCCTGAAACGTACTCTGCCATCCACCTCCCTCTCGAAGTCACGGAACTCATCATCGACGAGGTCGCGAACGCGAACGACAAAGAAACTCTCCGGAGCTTCGCTCTTGTCAGCCGCTCCTTCGTCTTCCAATGCCAACGACGGCTTTTCCACACTATCGATCTCGGAGACCGATGCATTCCCGGACAAGAGTACTATCGTCGTCTCCTGCGTGTTTTATCCCGACGACCTGGCTTTTGTGACCATGTTCGGGACCTCCGCCTCGTGGACACGTACGTGTGGGATCATCAGAAGAACTGGAAGTGGCTCGTGACGGAAGACAGCGTCTGCGACGTGCTGGATCTCCTTCCCAACATCAGGTCATTTTCGCTCAAGTTCAACACCGGGAAACCGACGTGGTCGATGTTCAAGCCGTGTATCCGGCATTCCCTTTCTCAGTTGACGAAGCGTCCGATGCTCCGTTCGTATTCCCTAAGCCACATTATTGACTTTCCATCATCCCTCTTGGTCACCTTCTCAGGTGTGAAACACCTTGAATTGAACGATGTTGCCGTGGATGGGCTGAACTCGGCAGCGTCGTTCGATTTCGTGATAGCACTCGCGTCGGTTCACAGACCGTCCCTGGAATCATTGATCCTCCGAGCACCCTCCCTCGAGATGGTGCGACAACTTTGCAAAGTTTTATCGATTTACCCTGTTCCGACCCTGAAGACGTTGCTCGTTTCACTTGTGGATGAACAAGACAGAGAGTTGATGACGGAGCTGTGGACCTTACTCCAGTGGGCCGCGGATAGTCTTACCCATCTCGAATGGCGCACCTCAACGCGACCTCGTACCCCAGCTCTCCGTGAGTGTCTTGCATGGCGCCTACTCTACATGACACTGACCATTTCTTCATACAGGTCCACCGGAACCCATCCATCTGGGCATCCTCCACAACCTCCGCACCATCCACTTCCTCGTCAACTTCCACTCCGACGCAGCCCCTGTCTTCTCCGAACTGCTCTCTCTCCTCGACCAAATATCCTCCGGACCGCGATTCACAGAACTCGTCATCCAATGCATGTTCATGCAAGTCGCGGAACTGGTCGCTTGCGGCAGTGACTGGTCGGCACTCGATGCGATGCTGGTAGAGCCCAAGTTCTGCGGATTGAAGAGTGTGGTATTCAGCGCGAGGCTGAAGCTCGTCAAGTCGCTGAAGGCGTCTGCGAAGACGATCTTGATGGAACAGTTGCCTGGTGCGCGGGCTAGCGGGATGTTGATCGCGTTTGATATGGATCTTCTGTGAAAGTGCGGGCCATGGTAGTGAGACAGTGACGAGTGTAAGGATGTGAAGTAGTTTGTTTTTATATTGGACGTTGTACACATACGAGACGGGACAACAACATAATGTCCAAACCTTGCACGCTTTGATTAGATTGTATACGTGTACGCTGGAATCCACTTCGAGTTCGCAGCGGGCACAATCGTGGAGTTTGCTGTTTCTGTTGCAACAATGAACGTTGGTTGTACGTGTCGCTGGGCTGTTTTCGAAATGACCACATGTCGAATTCAAATTATCATCTTCTCCGCTACGTCCTAAAAACGTGTTGGGCGCTGAGCGCTACCGCATACCCTGTAGACTCTTGATGAGTCATTGATCCCTTCTCCGCTCCTTCCTTATAACACCGGGCAGAGAATCACTCCATTCGACCCTACCAAGCCCTCCCACATCCGTTCGACTTCCAATCACTATGGTTCACCCAAGCGAAGCGCAAAACACCACCACCACCACACCGCTCATCGACGCCCCAGTCCTCGACTGGTCCACCACCCCCCTCGCGCAAGACCACCAAGGCCGCTACGTCAAAATCATCGACGACCTCTTCACCCCCGCCGAATGCGCCGCCCTCATCGCACTGGCCGAGTCCGACGCGCAGTGGGCGCAGGCCGCGGTCAACTACGGCCTGGCGGCGCACGAGAACTACGTCAATACGGATTACCGGCACAGCGAGCGGATACTGCGCTTTGACCGGGAGGCGGCGGAGGGGATATATGAGAAGCTGAAGCCGTATGTACAGGAGTTTATAGAGCTGAAGGCGGGGGATGAGTGGGAGGGGATTGTGGGGAGGAAGGGGAATGTCAGTGGGACGTGGACATTGGTTGGGTCAGTGATCTCGCTTTCTATTTCTCTAGTGATCTTGCGTCGATTGAGGAGATCTTTAACTACGCAGGGTCAACGAACGTCTCAGTTTCCTGCGATACGGGCCGGGGAACTACTTCCGGGGCCACTGCGACGGGCAACTCGAGCTCCCAGACGGACGCAAGTCCCGCGTCACTCTCCAAGTCTACCTCGGAGACGACGGCGTCGAGGGCGGCGCAACGCGGATATACGGAAGTAAAGATCGGTTCATCGACGTCGAACCGAAGAAGGGACGCGTGCTGATCTTCCAGCAGCGGGATATATGGCACAGTGGGGAGGATGTTACGAAGGGTTTGAAGTATGCGATGCGGAGCGACTTTATGTTCAGGCACTCTGACGACCCGGAGGGTAGTAAGATAAAGGGATCTGGAAAAACACTGTATTGACTGTCCCTCTGCAAATCAATGGGTTTTATGTTCGGGAGCTTCGGTTCTGTATGCCATGCCCAAATAAATACGCGAAATGGAGGTGAGGTCAAGAGGGGAAAGTTGGATGGTAAAAGAATACACGAGCCTAGAACAACAGGCGGTTTCAGCTGTTGGTTCAGATGGGTGAAGGTTTTTGAAGGGTACATAGTACAAATGACAGTCGCCTTAAAGTCGCACTCGTTGACAATCAAGGACTCCCAATCGCATTAAGGGGGAAAATAATAAATGTCTTTTTGCATGAGAGATACGCATATAAAAAGTAAAGTAAAAAGAGGAGAAAGAAACAACGAAAACTTAGGTTTGGAATGAATTCGACATGGAGGAGGTAGTTGTCGTCGTTTACAGGTAGCGTAGCAAGGGGCGAGCTGAGGCGGGGCGATGCAGTGATAATGGTGAGTATATAGAAGGGGGAAGGGGGGCCGGGTGGACGAACGAGGCCGGTGTGGCGAGCGGTGGGAGGCATATGGGCCATTTGGTTGAAGGGAAGATAATTGAATGAACGTAAGTAAGATCGGTTCGGTATGCCATGTCCACATAAGCGAAGGGGATGTGGGGGAGAGA